TTCGTGATGGAATCACGCGCTCGTCAAAATAAGGAAATCAAAGAAATCGACATTTTGGTCAATTCGCAATTTTTTGTCTAATTTTCTTTTCTTGGCTCAACATCTTTTATGTCCATTTAAAAACACATTTATGTGTTGATTTTGCTGAAAAACATTGATTAAAGCCACAAAATGGTTACATTTTTATTTCCCAAGGTCTCTCAGGCAATGGAAGTTAACAAACTTTGGCGGCAATTTTCTAGCTAATTATACTTCTAAAACCAAGCGACCCTAACTCCTTCAATTTCAAATATTTCGGCTTCTATTCAACATAGATGAATACATAGTGTACTTTTTCTCCAGAAGGAAGGAAAATAAACAGGCTTCAAGGTGATACCAATAACCTTTTTTGCCCAAGAATTGACGAGCGCCTCATTCCCCGCATCCTGACACATAATAATATAGTACAATCATCTTCATTCAGTGCCAGATCTGCGACAGACATCGGCGATCATGGTTCTCGATTCATTCCTTTGCTCGGATGCTCTTAAAAAAGCTACGTTTCCTGGCCCTGATCTTTCCCTGTCACCCTTTTATTCAGGTTCCCCAAGTAGGTTGCTCTGGGCCTACCCCTGCCTCGATTGCCTTCAATTTTGCGAGTGAGAGCTAGATGTTCAAGACCCTTATGTCTATTCAGGTGTCCCAAGAGCTGCATTTTGTCGTTTTCTGATTGTTTTTAACAGTGAGCGTCCCACGTGGGCTTCATCAAGCACTACCTCATTTGATTTCTTTTCCTTCAACGGTACTATTAGCAGTCTCCTAAGAAGCCACATTCTGTTGCTTCTATTTTTATTTTCACTGTCTTTAGTGATTGTCCAACATTCACAGCCATATAGAAGGGTTGACCATACATAAGCATTTCAGAACTTTCATTTTGGTAGTCATTGAGATGTTTGTATTTTTCAGGATAGGGCTCATTTTATTGAAACTAGCCTTAGCCATTGTAATTCTCCGTTTTACTTCTGTGGTACATTAGGCATCAGATGTTATCATATATCCTAAATATCTAAACTGTTTGACTTAATTGATCTTTTCACCTTTGCTCATGAGATTACATATATGGTATAAATATATA